GCAGGAACGGCGATGAAGGCAGCAAAGGAAAGGTTGCGGCAGAAGGAGAAGTAGAGGATAATAACCATCTAAGAAGAAGATACAATCAGAGCACCACTCGACACACGGATACAACCATAGATGGGAGCAAAAGAACGTTGGCGGCTGTCCTAACAAACAAAAAAAAATTGACCATAAAACATTAGAAAAGCAAATATAGAGTATAACTAGGAGTGGCCTAAGAGAACTAACCGACTCCATAGAAATAAAAAAAACTTGGATCGATTTGGTCCAGGAACGAAAGCGGAAGTTGCTTGGTCGCGGGAACCGCATCACGCTTCAATAGCAAGAGCTTCTACTTCCTGCCCCGCGACAGTCTCCTGGGGTTGGGGGAGCTTCGACCTCATCCATCGAAACTTGTCTCCTCGTACTATAGCGTCAGGTCAACCCAGTTGAAGATAGCTGAAATGGCATAATATTCTACTATGTTGGTTTTATAAGCGTTATCAATTTACGCGCCACTCGTGGGCTTGGTGAGGAAGGGATTATGCCCCATTCCGGGGCGCGCTCGTAGTGGGCTAGCATGCAAGGTTGTTTTTCCTCAATTCTTTATTGCCTTGCCTATTATACAAATCACTACATAAAGTGTGAAAACATATATAATTCAAATTGCCATAGTTTTGAAATCTCCAATCTTTACATGAGATTATTATAAGGTTAAGGAATACTCAAATTAATCAGTTTAGAGGTAAGAAAATACTATTGATTTTTTTTTTTCAAAAAAAAAATTGAGCATTAAAAATCATAAGATTTCCAATTGTTTAAGTGCAAATAAAAAAATCTACTTGAAAGCACCTTTGCAATCACTTTTGCGGTTTCTCAGGGGAGAGGGGGGAGGGGGTTGATGGGCGCATTGTAATCAGATGACTAATCTTTCTTCAAACAAGAGCTCCTCATAAAAGGCTAAAAGGGAGTTCCACGAAGCGACCGTTGATATTCTTTGTGAGTGACCCATAATCGGTTGAGGGAATTGATCATATGGTTGTTGCGGTTCAGGTTTGTAGTGTTCTTTAAGAGTATAAAAAAAGTATATCCGAGCTAAGGAAAACTACACACCTGAACCGACAACAGCCATATGATCAATTCCCTCAACCGATTATGGGTCACCCGCAAAGAAGATCAACAGCTATTTCGTCGAACTCCCTTTCAGCCTTTTATGAAGACCTTTCGTTCGAAGAAAATCACATCAAATTCACCTCTAGCAAATTGCAAACATGAAAAAAAAAATCGTAGTTAACTATAAGCATGAGAAAAAAAATTGCGTTGTATTGTAGTTAGAGTAATCTCTAGCAAATCTTTAACATGAACGGCAGTAACCCCACTGTAGCTATAGTAAAATGATAAATTGAAAACTAGTAGAAGCATAAAAAACGTAACAACATCAAATTTGTGACGCTACAGCAACTATAAAAAATGCAAACATCACTGGCTACAATAGTCAAATGATAAATTAAAGAGTCAAATCATAATTTCAATGTTTCTACACTACAATAACCACAAAATCTCATAAAAGCATGAAAAACACAAACCTCACTGATTGCGCCGTTGCGGGAGAGCATACAGATGCGGGAGAGGACGCGATGTGAGTGTGGGAGAAGACAACGCAGACAAGTCTGATCTAAGCCTGTGTGCGAAATGAAGATCGCCTGTGTGTGGGATGAAGACGATGCATGGGATGAAGACGATGCAAACAATACGAGTACGTGAATAAACCGTAGCTTTGTGCACAGTTACTGTGTGGAGGAGAGAAAGGAAGGAGAAGTCTAAGGAAGAAGAAGAAGAAAAAGGAGGAGGAGAAGGAGGAGAAGTCAAAGGAGGAAACCTTCGAAGTCGAGTTCGAACTCTGCGTGCAATGGAAAAAGCTGAGTGCCTGCGAGGATGGACTACGTGCGGCTCGAATCGGATAGGTATTTATAATTAGGGATTTTTTACCCTTTTTATTCAAATAAGAGGCAGGTCGTACGCCCCATGAGGCCCGTATTCCGCTCCTGTTCTTCCCGGGCGAAAGCCTCGTGCAATTTACGCCCCACTCGTGGGCTTGGGGAGGAAGGCATTACGCCCCATTCCGGGGCGCACTCGTAGTGCGCTAGCATGCAAGGCTGTTTTTCATCGTTTCTTTATTGCCTTGCCTATTATACAAATCACTGCATAAAGTATGAAAACTTATATAATTCAAATTGCCATAGTTTTGAAATCTCCAATCTTTACATGAGACATTTATAAGATTAATGAATAATCAAATTAATCAGTTTAGAGGTAAGAAAATACTCTTGATTTTTTTCTCAAAAAAAAATTGAGCATCAAAAATCATAAGATTTCCAATTGTTTAAGTGCAAATAAAGAAATCTACTTGAAAGCACCTTTGCAATCACTTCTGCAGTTTCCCTGAAGTCTACACATCTGGAAGTATTTGACTTGGCTAGAAACTCATCAATCAAACGGACTCCAATGTTATAGCCCCTACAAAATATGAAACAATTATCACAAAAACACACTTTAAAGAATAGAATCATATAAATTAAAAGTAAAAATGTGACCAAAATATAAACATTTACAAGAGGATATAGAAGACAGAGTTGTCATTATTTCTCAGGTAAAAAATCTTTAAAAAAGCAAAATGCAAAGCTATATACAATCTTACTGTGAGTCAAACAATCCCATTGAATAATCTTTTAGCATCCAAGAGTAGGTGATCATAAATGCAAAAAATAAAAAAAGAAGTATAAAAGCAACATGCAAAGCTATATACAATCTTGCTGTTAGTCAAGCAATCCCAATCAATAGTCTTTTGTAGCATCCAAGTATAGGTGATCATAAATGCAAATAAATAAATAAACAAGTCAGCCACCCACAGCAACTTGTTCTCACACATAAGACACAAACATGTAGCTTACAAAAAATTATAAGAAAGATTCTACAGTCATATAAAAAACTCCAACGAACCTTTGGTAACATATCCTTAATTATAAAAATATCCTAGGCTGATTTATACAAGAAAAATCCACACAAAAATTAATTCAAATGCTGGAAAAATGCAATAATTACAGAAAAATCATGAAACTCTGTGCAGCAACCATTAGTCATATGAAAATTGCAAAGATATTATTTTGAGATCAACTTTCCTAATAGTTAAAATGCAAGAAAAATAGGAGTCAACACATAATATTAATATAAATCGTTAAAAATGAATTGAAAATCCTAGGCCGTTAAAACTACAATATTTATCTTCTAGAGGGACACTTCAAAATATATTTAGCATTGAGTCAACACGTTCATGCTACCTTAAAAATCATGTCACTGTTCCATGAACTTTGAAATTTACCTAGAAAGGTGTGCCTATGCATGGAAAATTTTACAAAGATAATTAAAAAATAAAGCTCCCCTAGCATCCATAAATAACTCTCGCAAGTATCTTTATTTACTAGTGCAGCAATAATTGTGTCGATGCACCAAAAAGGTTTGCCATTGCACGATAGTCTTGATATGGTCCTAAGATGGGGTGCATTTTAAGTTAATAAGCATAGTTAGGTCCGGCTCAAAAGTGACTTAACCTTAATATAATCAATACAAACCAGTAATATTTTTAAAAGGGACAGGAGGAAGAGACCCAAACTTAACTATCCATTAACTTGAGCCCAACATGATAAGGACTTTAATCATGTTAGGTTCATGTAAACCCGATCTAAGATGGTCAAGATTACCCAATTTTGACACAACTCCTCCAAAAAGAAAATGTAAATCACGTAGTTTTTCTAATAAAAAAATTAGAATCAAATAGATTGTCATTATTTTCGAGCTGATCTAAATCCGAACGAACCAATTTGAATCTTGCATGGATTAACCCAAATCCAAAATTTGCGTTTAATTTTAATGTGGAACCAACATTGGCACACTTATCCTAAACTCAGCCAAAGAATTCTAACAAATCTTTGTGAAATCCAAGAGGGAATATGATGCCATCCCAAGAGTACAAACCACCAAACTACCCTCTAAAGAACCAAATTGCCAAAATGACCACTCTTTCATTCATATGCAGATTGGGTCAATCTATTTGCTTAACAAATAAGAAAATATCTAATTTCTCATTCCCAATTGATAGAAGGGTCTGGTGAATTGTCACCATGATATGTGTGTTAATTCACACAATACAACAAAGTTGTAAGTCTCTTATGAGAGCTTGTAAGTCCCACCTTATGAGCCTTCTCCATAAATAAAAGTTGCAGGTTCAATTTTTATGCTTTTCGTACCCTACAAGTTGCATGTTTTATAGTTGGGCCTCCTAATGGATGCAAGTCCCTGACATGCCTAAAATATATTACTTTTATTTGCACATTTATTTTTAATGATATTGCGTTTTAATGAAAGATATTTTTTATCTTTTTAGTTGTAGGTACACTAAATGGAGCAAATGGAATGAAAATGGAGCAAACCGGAGTCAAATGAAACAAAAAGGTCAATGTTGATCTGACACTTAGGCTCCAAACAACAGAGAGCCTGGCGCCGGTTATCTAGAAAATCCATTGAATGTAGACAAATTTTGAAGAGGTGCTTGAGGAAACTCCTGGGGATTTTGGTAGCTCTATTTAAAGAGACTTCTCGAGATTCAAAAGAGAGACTTTTGTTGGAGGAAAAGAGAGCTTTCGTAGAGAAGTGGATTATTCCTAGAGAGGAGAAAGTCTTGGAGGTTTCCTTGGACTTGAGGAGAAGAGGAGAAGTGAGAGATATCTTTTTCACTACAATTCTAAGTAAGTTTGAAGTGGAATTGTAAGAAGAGTAAGTGATTCAAGGAAACTAGAAAGATTGCTTGAGAAGGAGTTCAAAAATAAGTTGTGAACTTTGTTTATTTTTACTTAGTCTTCTCTTGTAAACTTTTATTTATATATAAATCTATGTGTTCTTCATAAGATCTGAATAGTTTCCTTTGTATTTCTCGCTACAATGAAAAAAAATGTGTAGGAATATAGTTTTGTAAAAGTGCTTTTAAAATTTCATAAATTATGATGATTTAAACTCTATGCTTAATTTACTTATCGATCTAGTTAATTGATTTGTTAAAATTTATTGTAAAACATAGTGACCCGAAATGGGTTATGTTCCAACATAATAAGAATCACATTTAGCCTCATGTATGAGAATGTAGTCCCTAAAATTAAGTGAAAATAAATAAGTAAATAAGTTTTGATGGGCATAAAATTGGAGACTTTAGGATGACAGACTAAAACCACCCAATTTGGTCAAGATGTTTAGAAACTGAAGCAAGATGTTAGCCATGAGGTGTGGAGAAGTGGGAACTCTAGACTGAGAGCTAGTATCTTTCCAGCCTAACCACGAATTTAGGGACCAAACTCTAAATTAGTGAATGTTCTTTATGCACTCGAGAGAGGGTAAAGAATAGAATTGTTTCTATTTGACACAATACCTTAATTATATTTAAAATTATTTTCCTACACTAATTATAAACTCATTTCAAGGGGAAGGATGTTTTATAGAAGTTTGAACTCTTCATATATTATTTTAGAGTAGTGGTAACTTTACATTTTAAAACCTTTTTAGATTGTCCTGTATTTACATTTTACATTTTCTTACATAGCATTCCTTTTAATTTTATAGAATTAGATAATACAAAAAACTTACAATTATTTCCTATATAAGTTTACTAAAATTAAAAGAAGGTTTTATTAAAGTTAATTTTATAAAAGTTTTGTTTATCTTCGTGAGATTAATACTAGGGTTTTTAATGAAAAATCATATATTACTTAAGACGATACGTATATTTGCGTAATTGCACTAGTGTGTAAACCATTTTTATCATCTTTATATAATATTTAATTTTGTATAATAAATGCTGAATATAAATTGAATCAAACTTTTGGCCATATTTCTGAAATTAAATAATTGTGTAATTGCGGCTTTTTGCGTCATTGCCTGGGATAGCAACGAAACCTTTTTGACATAAAAAAATCTTTATTTTAAATTGTAGAAATAATATAGAAAAATTGTAGTATCATTTATATATAAGTGCTTGTGTGTGTATTTAAAAATATTAAAAAAAGAAATATTTATTGTTTTACTGTGTTTTACTTGTTTTATTATTTACCTTTAAAATTGTATACGTAGTGTAGGATCTAAAGGTTTAGTACCTTACGATTCTGAGTTTGAGGGAACTATTAAAAAAATTTAAAAACAAAAAATTTAAAAACTCATATACTTAGCAATTTCTTCTTGTTATATTCATGTTAATTAAACTCTACTGTTGTTGTATACCTGCTTCTAATACGTACATACTTTCATGTTAAACCCTTTTTATAAAAATCATTTTTAAAATTTTCTTCATGCTTCTATATTTTCTGTTATAAATGTTTTAACATATTAAGAAAAAATTAAGTTTGGGGGAGGGAGAAAAACTTTTGAAAAATATAATTTTATTTGTCCTTAGAATCTATATTCAAAGAAAATATCATTTTAAAATTAATATGGGGTATGTAGTGTTATTTTTAGAGAACTTTTTTTTTATTCTATAGATGTGGTAGACTTAAGTAAATTTTTAATAATAAAGATTAGTTCTACGAATTACGATATTAAATAAATAAGAATAGAGATATGATTTTATTATTTAAAGTAAAAAAGAAATTGTATTTTTAAAATACTGAGGATCTTAGATCTATACTATAAAGAATTGAGACTCTATAAGAAATTATTTTTTAAAACTGATACAAATTATACGGAAAAAAAATGTTATGAGTTTTTAACTTTAAGAGGATGATAGTGAAATTCAAAATCATTAAAAGTTGATCAAGATATAGTAATCCTCACTGAGAAAGAAAAGAAATGATTGAAAATAATCCTTAAAGTAAAAAAGAAAAGGAAAGAATAAAAAGAAAAGAGAAAAAAAGAAAAAAAAGTATATAGGAAACAAAGGAGAAGCTTGAGGAGGTGTCTAATTAAAAATTAGTTTCACTTTAATCATTTTAAAGAAAGCGACTTTATTACAGTTCTGAGCTTTTATTTTCTTACAGTATTAATTACCTTTACTAGCATAGTTCTCTTAAATCCTATCTGTTATTTTTTTGAAACTTCTATGTTTCTCAAATTACAATTAATTTTTGAAATGAATAAAAAAATTAGAATTTCTAGACTTGATTACAAAATATTCTTACCTAAATAACTAAGATTTTCTTAAGGTCATGACTACCACGATTATAGGACAAAACTATAGAGGTATTTCAAGAAACCCATTACCACATACTAAAATAATTTATTTGTCAAAAGAGATAAGTTACTTAAGGATAAGTAGCAATTAAGTTTGAGTGATTATAACATACCTAAAATATGTTACTTTTATTTGCACAATTAATAACTATTTTTAATGATATTGCACTTTAATGAAAGAAATTTTTAATATTTTTAGTTGTAGGTACACTAAATGGAGCAAATTGGAGTCAAATGAAGCAAAAAGGTCA